AGGAGGGCGAAGCAGCTACTTCATGCTCAGTCGACCAGGCGAAGACCCTGGTTATGGGCAAGAATGACTTGGAACAAGTGTCTGGGAGGCCTCCAGTCTATATTTGGTTACCTTCTGCTAATAGAGAGACACTGTCTGATGTGCTTGCCTCGGCGGACCAAAATGATAAGCGGTTGTCGCAGCCGACTGACTGACTGAAGGATTACAATATAATTATATTGTAATAATTATATAATTCTCTGATCAAGTGATGATATGAATGTATGGTACACTCCACCATCTGCTCAGAACGATGCTATCGTACAATTGTACTGATGAGTCTCGTGGTATGGTCTGAAATAACTGTTATTTAACTGACTACCCTGACACCAGCTATCCCTAGGCAAAGTTCTTAGGCAAAGTTCGGTAACTCCTCAAGAGTATTGATTGAAAGTGTGTCGACAGCAGCAATCTGTAATTCTGTGCGATTTTCGTTTTTCCTGCAAGTAATAAGTTTTATAACCGAGTAGTATTTTGCATTACCACCAATGAACATTGGCCCATCGTTAACATAATCAGGTTAGGCGTTTCAATCCTGCATTCTCACATCACCGGAACGGATGCTGAAAACGAAAGCTTGTTTTGGCGATGAATTACGCAAATCTCATTGCTCAATCAAACGTTTTTCTAGCGCAATCCAATTTGCAATGGGCCTAAATCCAGTCAGACAGTGCAGTGTACCGTATTCCTGTTGCCTTATCTGTTTTTGGATCAATCGCTGGTGCCGTGGAATCGCTTATCGCCTTAAAAACATGTCTACACGAACCGTCTGCTGCCCATAGGCGGGGATTAGGAGTCATCATCGCTTAAAAGACGTGATTGGTTTCGTCAGATTGAGGACTTCGTCTTCTGTTGCTTTTCGGTTCGGTCGTCGTCGCGCCGTAAAAACCTATGCCCAGATTACCGTGTCTGTAAAAAACACGACTCGGTGTCAATAACTCTAGACGATTATAATTTGGCCAGTCTTTCTTTGTCGGAGACGGCTGACAAGATGACAAGAACGATCGGTGGTTGAAGCGTGTTCCAGAAAAGTTTTCCTTCTTCGTATGAACCGTATAGACGTGATTATTCAGCTTTCAGGGCGTGTTATGGTAAAAAGGTTTATAATCATGCCTCTGACCAGTTGCACGTCCGATGAACATTCAAATCGATACCTACAACTGACAGGAGGGACAATAAAGGGTGGAGAGTCACAAGGTTGAAATGTTTGAACGCGACAGACCGTAAGGCTCGCCATTCCGCTCAAATGGAATTTCACTTTTTACGTTCACACGCTTTAAGATCATACGAAGAAACGATTTAGCAAAAACCGTTTAGCAAACACTACTTACGAGTGTATGCTCCACCCGTTGTTCAGTAG